TACTCAGCCCGTTTTCCTTTTCACTACCTGATGAACTGTTTAAAGCCCTATGGAACACAGTTGCGAATTAAGTTGTACCTAGTGGAAACTGAATGCACAGATTCGCAGTGCAGAATTACACCATTAGTGGGCCTTATGAAGAGCTCCGTTTCCAACGTTGAGATGCTGTTCCTCCTTTCCACCGTCACCAGTATATCCAAATATGTGACCCCCTTTCCGCCCCCTGTATGCTCGATCGTAAAAGCCAAATTTGGATGCTGGCTGTTCATGAACTCCAAACAATTTTTTGAGGGCACGCTGTCCGTACGTCCATACCCCAGCATGATCACCGATGTATCCAGCTGAGACAGTTGGTTTTAATGGGCTGGCGTTCAGGGATTTCGTTTCAAACTGGCCTAGCAATATCATCGCCAGAGGAGGAGCGCATGGGCTCCCCATTGCTATGCCCAATTTCTGTCGGAGAAAGTGATCTCCGAACCAGAAAACAATCCTGGGTACGCTGTTCTAAAAGACCGCAGATATCCTCTTTTGATGGACCAAAAGCATCTATTCATGGAAATGCTTGCCCACCTTAGCTTGCACAACGGCAAAAGCTTCAATGGCTGGTGTGTTGCAATATCAGTAGCAACATCTACGCCGTTCTTGGCGGACTTTCTACTTTCTAAAGACTTTCTTCATCGTTCATCGTTCTACATCGTTCGTCTAATCTTGGACATCGTTCAACGAAAGACCAGTTTTCCTAACGTTCAAAAGGATGCAAGCAAGACTGAGGTCTTGTTTATGATAACGTGCGGCGTATGATGACTTGCGATAAGCATCAGCAGCTGGGCTGAAGGTGGGTCCTTCAGGGAATGCTAAGCGTCAAGCAAACACTCGAACCTATCTCAGCCGACACCGAGAGAGAGAGCGCGCGGAGGAGACATTTTCCTGACGTTACAGTATCGAACGAGAGGCTGTGCCGGACGCACGCCGTAAGTAGCTGCGCTATGAGACCTTGCTGTGCAGCGTTGGAAGTGCCCCGTTGAACAGCTGCTGTCTGGTAGAAACACTCACGTGAAACAACTGTTGCCTGGTAGAAGCGCTGCCGCAGACAGCTGCTGCCGAGTAGAACCGCTCCCATGAGACAGCTGCTACCTGGTAGAGCCGCCCCAGTGAAGCAGCTGCTGCCTGGTAGAACCGCTCCCGTGAAACAGCTGCTGCCTGGTCGAACCGCTCCTGTTTAAACACCTAATGCTTGGTAGAACCGCTGTCGCATAACAACTGCTGCCTGGTGGAGATGCCTCCGAGAAGTTCCTGCTGCCATGTGAAGCTGCCGCTGTCCGGTGAAACTGCTACTGTCCGGTGAAGCGGCTGCTGTCCAGTAAAGCTGCTGCTGTCCGGTGAAGCTGCTGCTGTCCAGTGAAGCTTCTGCTGTTCGGTGAAACTGCTACTGTCCGGTGAAGCTGCTGCTGTTCGGTGAAACTGCTACTGTCCGGTGAAGCTGCTGCCGTCCGGTGAAGCTACTGTTGCCCAGTGAGGCTTCTGCTGTCCGGTGAAGCTACTGTTGCCCGGTGATGCTTCTGCTGTCCTGTGAAACTGCTGCTGTCCAGTAAAGCTACGCACCGCCATCTGCCTTGGTGAGCAGCCGTGTGCTGGGTTCCACATGAAATGCAGTGAGGTGAGCGACCAAGCTGTCGATAACGTAATGCTTTTTTGCTGCATAAATGTTCTTGCTCGACCTCTCTTCGGGTTTTGCCACCTTATATAAGTCCATGGCGCACAACACTTTGACCTTCTAGACAGTGTGTGACATATCAGACCGCTTGTGACACGTTAACACGGCATGTATGCTGCTGCATGCTGCTATCTCGGACATATCGCTGAAAGAAAACCTGAGGTGGAACACACTCCGTCACCGTTGTCATGGTCAAAGCATAGGAAAACCGTGGTCAAATCGGCTGCATGTCACGGTCTTCCGCACTGTGTCAATCTCTTCGCATCAAGAAGGTGACATGTCGAGCATCTTTAATTGCGCTGCGCATCTATGGGTAGAGTACGAACAGGTGTAGGATGCGCGGCATCCTACAGATACATACGTGGTTGTTCAACATGCCAATGACTTCGCATCAGAGAGGTGGCACGTCGAACATCTGAAGTTGCGCTGTGCTTCTATGGGTAAAGTAGGGACAGTTGTAGGATGCGCGACATCTTACAGATACATGCACGATTGTCCAACATGCCAATGGCGATAACACTAATCACGTCCAAAAGTGGCACGCCTGGGAATGTATCACAGCACGACGACATCGTTCTAATAGGACAAGCAGATTAGATTGGCGAGGTTGATACAAGCGTTACTGCCATGTTATCCACCGATGTATGCTACTGAAATGTTGCAAAAGTCGTAACGTCTCAACGTCATGTGTCGCTTGATGGGAATGACGCGGGCGGGCGTCGAAAATCGAGCAGCGAGCATTGCTTTATAGGGGCGAATCAGTTGCCTTAGGCGGCCTTAATCGCTGAATAATTAATCACAGTTCACAATATTGTGTATTGCGTGAATAGAGACCATGTCAGCTAAAACAGTCCGAATGTTCCACAGATTGCTGAGCAAGGCCGTGAACACATGCATTTGATACGGCAGCTAAGTTCTTTCAAATGCGACGGTCGCATGCATTCATTCCTGTTTTGCAATGCGGCTTGGATTCCCCAATGGTGTCAAGGAGGGGAGCCGAACCATCCGTGTTCTTTGCGGTACAGCCTCTTCCACAGCTTCTCGTGGCGGCCCACGTCTCTGTCGCATATCATATCTTGGGCCTCTTTTTAGCGAGCTCCAGCCATGCCCGCCAAGCGCTGGTCTCTGTCTTCTCTGGGCGCTGCGCTACGCCGGCTGCCATCGGGCGGCGTGTTCGCCATCGTCGCCGGCTTCATGCTGCACCTCTCCCTGGGTGGCCTCTACACCTTCGCCAACGTCACCACCTACGTGACGTCATACCTGCGCGTGCGCGTCGACCCGGCGGTCGGCTACGGCCAGACGCTGTGGGTGAGCACTCTGATGGAGCTCAGTCAGGGGCTCTGCATGCTGCCTGGTACTTTGTTCTACCGCAGGTTCGGGCCGCGCCTGACCATCGCCGTCGGCAGCGTCGTCAGCACCGCCGGCATCGCGCTGGCCAATCTCGCCGTCGACAAGTCGCTGGCATGGGTGGAAGTGACCTACGGATTCCTGAACGGCCTCGGCGTAGGCCTGGTGTACACAGTTCCGATTCTGGTCGGCTACAAATGGTTCCCGAAGAACAAGGGCCTGGTGAGCGGGGTGGTGGTCGGGGGCTACGGTCTGGGCGGCATCATTTTCACCACCATGCAGACCAGCTTTATCAACCCCGACAACGTGTCGCCGGAGGACGACGGATTCTTTCACGACGAAGCGCTGCTGGACCGTGTTCCGAACGTGTTCCTGCTTCAGGCGGGCGTCTGTGTAGGACTACAGTTGGTCGGTTTCCTTGGCGTTCGTGATCCCCCCTCGAAAACGCCACAGAGCGACAGCGCTCCAGAGGCTGCGAACAGTGAGCTGAAGACAGAGTCGGAGGCAGAAATAACCGGGGAGCTCCGGCGCGGCGGTGATGTTTCAAAACACAGCGTCGCAGGTGGCGCCAGAAACGTGTACTCTGTGAAGGAAGCACTCAGGACTCTGGCCATATACCAGCTTCTCCTGGGTTACATTTTGAACACATTTCCCATCAGCTTTATCATACCGTTATGGAAGGCCTTCGGGCAAACCTTCATCAAGGATGACTTCTTCTTGGAGCTGGTCGGTTCCGGTTCTTCAGTCTTCAACATGCTCGGTCGCATAGCCTGGGGATTTTCGTGCGACTTGTTCGGTTACAAGCCAGTCATGGTATTGATGTCCGGGCTGTTCTGTTCCCTCATGCTCACCCTCCAGTCCACCTCGGAGGGCGGCAAGGTGATGTTCCTGATCTGGATCTGGGCCATTTTCTTATGCTTCTCCGGCACGTTTTCCGTGGTGATCACGGGCACAGCTGAGACCTTCGGCGCGGAGAGCGCCGGCCAGATCTACGGCTTGATCTTCGTGGTTGGCTCCATGCTCTCGATCTTCTCGTCATTTCTCAACAACCTGCTGCTCGACCGCTACGGCTACTCGCTGCTGCTGCTGGTCACCGGCCTGATCAACGGCGTCGGCTTCATCGTCACGCTGACCTTCCGACCACCGAAACGGCGGACTGTAGACTGACGTCAGCACACTCCGAGAACACGTGACATGGCGTCGCACGAGCAGCCGCAGCCAGGACCGCCAGAACGGAGACAGCTGCGGCGCGGGCGTCACGGCGACGCGCTCACCGACGTCGCCTGTATTGCTGCTGCGAGTAGCTTGACGACAACAGCTATGTGTTTGGCCTGTCATGACTGTACGATATCTGTTGCAGTAACAACAGACCCTTCAGCAACAACAGAGCAGTTGTGTGCGATGGCTTTTATATTCACATTGAATTTGCATCTACTTTGTGTACGTATCGCGTCACGTTGCCTGACCCCAGAGAATTGGCCTGCCATGATGAGATGGACTCAGTTCCCTTGATGCGACTGATGCGCTCTGCTAGTGATCATACAATGGTCCCAATGCCTACGAACGCGCAGCATTTAACATGAGATTTCATGCCCGCTGTGTCCGCCTTGTATGCTACGCCCCGTTTGCGGCATTTTCATGAGGTGAGTAATGTTTGTCTTGCCACTTTTATCTTTGCGTATACCGGCGTGTTTAAGTACATGCTAAACCTTTTTTGCCCTGCATTTGTGGAGTTTGCGACCGTGCTGTATGATTTTATTTGCTTTTGCATGCTGAACTGAGCTGTAATTTGTGCCAAACCGTTGTGCACCTGACATGAATAAACGAACACACTGATGCTCTTTTACATCCATGACGCCCTCTTTTCCTGCGGCTGGGCACAGTGGCAAATACGAGCTTAGAGGGTTCGTCCATATTTGTTCACTGTGTTAAGCGCAATTTCTAAGGTTGGATAAAACAGGCTCGACACGCATTGTCTGTTCGGGTACCGCAGCAGAAAATCCAACTGCACACTTCAAAAGTTACGTGTGGTGCGACCCGTGCGCGAAATCCTGCCAACGAAAATTGTTAACATCGTTCGCTCACATGCATAAACTACCCCATTCGAATGCTCTCTCTCTCTCTAAGTTCCTCACGACCAAAACGCTTTTTCGATGAATGTCACTGCCAGCTGCAATGTGCATGTGCGAAGCTATTGGGCCGTGCTACCATCAACTGTTTCTCGCCCGTTCAGGTTGAGGCCCCTCCTCATGTTTGCGATCAGCGGGCTAGCGAAGATATCGTCCGATCAGGAATTGGGGTCTGCCGAATGTTTTAAAATGATACGTCAAGCTTGAGGTCGGAAGACTACCAGCAGAATATTGAAACTGGGAGCGGGCGAGATGGAAGTGCGCCTGTGTGGCTGGTTGCCTGCATGACTGGCTGCCTGTGTTGCTGGTGCCTGCATGACTGGTGCCTGTGTTGCCGGTTGCCTGTGTGGCTGGTGCCTGTGTGTGTTAGAGCCTGCGTGGCTGGAGCCTGTGTGTCCAGACTCCTGACGTAGTTCTTAGTTGCTATATGTGGCACAATTCTTACGTATTGGTGGACATTAACGTATTCAAAGATTAACGTTACGTTAAGGTGGGTTCAGAGCGGAAGGAACTCTCTAGCTGAACTGAGAAGACGCTACAACAGCCAAGTCTCTAAATACTCGCACGGCCTCATCATGATGAATGCATCGGAGGCTGCACCTACGGAACTCCCCAGAGGTCGTAAGCGTTAGAGCTGCTGAGACGACAGAGGTGGTCCTATCTAAGAGGCCGCTGGGTTGTCCTCGCTGTCGAGTAGTGCGAATGCACGCCGCAGCGGCGCTATCGTTTCTATCTCTTTGCAAAACACGAATGACATCTTCCTAGTGACACTGCTGAACAATCGTTCTACCTGTATTCAGATCGGTGTCTGTCGCACACGTATGTTTTGTCATTTTGGGCTGTGTTTCTGCGGTGCGTGCAGGGATGTGCTCCGCGTGTTTTTTGCTATAACTCCGCCCGTTAGTGAGCAGTAGAATACTGGCGATTCAAGAAAATACAAACTGGACGTCGCAGAGCTAAGCTTCCATGGGAGCTCCTTATGCAATGACCGTGTGAATATCATGCCCGGGTCCACAGTTTCGTCACAGCTTGCGTGTTTCAATACTGAAGTTTCACCGTAAGCGTGTAAAAATACCTATATTGCGGTTCATGATATCAGTGCATAAGTATTCGATCAGTTATATCTGCTTGAAAGTGAACGATATAAGCCCAAATGCTAGGGACGGCCGACACGACCTTTCTGAACTCGCTATTCGTAGTGGTTTTCGGTCAGCTTTGCAGTGATGATGAAACAATCAATAATGCTACGGCTCCATGATTAGACAGACAGACTAAGCAACGCAATCCCACCAATAGGCGAAGCAATGCAAACTAAATACGAAAGCAACGACAGACATCACACCAGAGCTCTGTTATTGGCAATGGATCTTCGCTACTAGGGCCCGTCTCGGTACAGCCGTGACAAGACCGAACACATAACTGATTGCTAAACTACTCGCAATGACAACACAGGTGACATCGCTGAGCACGTCACCGTGACTCTTGCGCCGCCATTGTCTCTTCTGGCAATCCTGGCACCGCCCGCTCGCGCGAGCCATGTCACGTGTTCTCCGAGTGTGCTGACGTCAGCCTGCCACCCGCAGCCACCGCGCTAGTCTCCTTCCGTCCCTTGGGTACTTCCCATGGTAACTCCTCGGTGCTCTGTCCTCGGATCCTTCTTTGTTTCTTGGCCTGATGCTTCACTTTCTCGCAGTTTCTTGTAATTGGGTCCGATGGCCATAATTTCTGGTTTATCCAATTGCTTGTCTGGGATGAGCCCTTCGCCCAATCCGTCACTGAGCTGGACTACTTCCCAGGATCGGCTGCGGGGAATCCTCGGGCAGCGCCTGCTCGTGCGACACGCCATCACCTGTTCTCCGGGTGTGTTGACGTCAGTCTGCAACCCGCCGACCACTACGGTAGACATCCATGAGGAAATCAGGCACTGGAGATAGTAATTAGGTCAACATTATTGGATGAGTCAGCACCTCCCCAATCGATTTTAGGGAATGACAACCTTGCCTAAGGCGTCTTCTTTTTTAATGTCTAGCCTGAGCCTTCCAAATGAATATATTTCTGTCATCGGAGCCCACGCTTGCAGTGCTTGTTACGTGAGCCTCGAGCAGGGGCGCATCCAGAGCTTTGCCAAGGGGGCACAGGGTTGCCAAGGGGCCCCTTGACACTTAAAGGCGCCCCCCTCCCCAAAAGAAATCGCCGGGTATGGTCCATGGTTGCTGCAGACACTTTGTAAATAAATGTATATATATATATATATATATATTACATATATATACATATATATATATATATATATATATATATATATATATATATATATACATATATATATATATATATATATATATATATATATATATATATATATATATCGGCCACGGCCACGAGGCCGAACCTGCGCGGTCTAGGGAGCCTGCAACGCCTGGCGTCGAGTTTTTGTAACCGAGGTAAGCGAGCGCGTATACTCAAAACTACGTTACATAATTTGTACCACTCGTCAATTCTGACCCGAATGTTGAACATATACATATGCATCTAAAAATAAACATATGCACACACACACACACACACACACACACCACACACACACACACACACACACACACACACACACACACACACACACACACACATATATGTATATATATATATATATATATATATATATATATACATATCTTTATAATATTTATGCTCTCAATAACTGGAAGAAAGACCAGATGCTCCCGCGAGTTCAATTCCATCTCAACTTTACAGTAAATATACTAACGAAATCATGCGTTAAATGACTGCATTAAATAAATCGCCGACATTTTTCATTTCAAAATGGTCAAGTGGGCTCTTTTAAACGAATAACACGCAGAAACTTTGTCTGCGTGTTAGCCTAGGTTAGGTTAGGTTAGGCCATCTGGGTTGTACAGAGTTAGCAAGGATTCAGCGAATGTAGATTAAAGATCAAAATTGGTCAACAATTTGTATTAGCGTTGGGAAGCCATGCCTGCCCAGATATGTTCAACATTCGGGTCAGAGCTGATGAGTGGAACAAATGATGTAGCGTAGTTTTGAGCATACGCGCTCGCATACCTAGGCAGCAAAAACTCAACGCCAGGCGTCGCAGTCTCCCTGGACCGCGCACCTTCGGCCCCGCGGTTAAAACTAAGCCATGGCCAACAAGTGGACGAAAATGGTGTTGCATCTGAAAGAAGTATAAAACGCCTTTGGACACCAAATCGTACATCAAGAGATGTTCCTGACGTATATTTCATCTATGCGGTTTTTAGATTAATGACAATAACGTAGTTTGAGTTTATAGTGCTGGCCTTTGCAACACCGTGAAATGGTGCTGAAATCTGGTCGAGGAATTGGAAGAGTAAGGTAAAGTAAAATTAGAAAGAAGAAAAATTTTAAAAAATAGAAACCGAATTTGTAGCTGATTACTAAGTGGGCCCTCAGGCCCATACCGACACGGAACCGACTGTGCGGTACTGGTAGTGCCTGGCCAACATATAGGCCCATATCGACTCAGGGGTCCCCGATCGGCGCAAATGGCCCTCTGATCGATATTTGGAGTTCTGTCTTCTCGGGTAAGGGCCCCTGAATAAGACTCTGAACAGCCATTTATGCCCTTAGACACTCCGATCGTGTCCTTGATCGTTGGACCTGTGACCCCCTTAGGCTATTCGGGGTTCCTTGGACACTATCTCTGGCCGACTTGGGGCCCTTTGACAACACAGGGCCCCTGTTAGGCGTTGTGGGCCCCGAGTAATGTAAACTGCTGCCTCCGGCTTTGTCCCTGCTTGGGAAATGAGCCCTCGGGCCATGCCACCACGGGGCCGACTGTGCGTTGCTGGCGGAGTCTGACCAAAATATAGGCCTTATCGACTCAGTGGACCCCTGATCAGCGCGCAGGGCCCTCCCCCTCGCGTTGGAGTGCCCAGCCCGGCGGGCTGAGGCCCCGGAATGAGAACTCCGTCTGAATTTTCGGGCCCTTCGGGCCTCGGAACCTAACGGGGGGGGGGGAATATGTGCCCCCTGTGCCCCCAGCCTGCGCTACTGGCCTCGAGCCCCACCATCCCAGTGCGCAATTCCACATGAATGACAAAAGTTGGTGGTGAAGGTTAAACGTGCTGTAATGCTCGACATGATCCGTCCTACCCTCTGACGTCACCTCACTTCCAGCAAGGCCATCAGTAACAGCCCCAAGACAGCCCAGTCAAGGGCAAATAGCAGATGAGGGTGGCTCGAACCCACCCCGCCTTGTGTGGATCAGTCGGAAGGTTGGTATTCTAACCAACTGATCTAGAGGGACCGTCATAGAAAGTCATGCCTGCTGGCTTGAGGCTCACGTAGGTGTAAACACATATTTTGGGATACATTTTTGGTCGCCAAGATGTTTTGTTTATGGCAAAAAAATTATTGGTTTGACCATGGTGACTTTTAACTTCCAACGTTTCTTTGATATCAAATGCCACGCTATCTGTTTACAGTGGATTAAGTGAGGGACTGTTACGAGAACCAGTCTCATAGGTTCGGAAGCGTTGGTGTTGTCAATAAGTTTGTCCGTCATTTAGTCTCTCCCATGCATTACTGACGGATTACGGCGCGTGTGTTTTTTTACTAGAGTACAGTGGTTGCAGGATGTGTCGTATGCTACAATCGGGGTATAGCGAGGTTACGAGCTCCGTACCAGAGACGGTGGATCGCTGAGTGCTTATATTGTGTAGCGCACCAAGTATGCTGCTGGGGTGTTATTTCCTTTAAGTAAGGTGGACTCCAGCTCCTTCCTCAATTTTGTGGTAAACCTACAATTTGT